AGGGATTAAGTATTGTTCATGTTAAGTAGATGATGGCGCAATATGTTTTCCAATTGGGAATTGCACTTTAGTTTGTTGTCTATGTCCCTAACTAAGTGCCCTCCATATCAGATTTTACACTCCATTTGAGTAATGGGTTAGCGGAGAGCCATTTGTGGGCGATCTTTAACCATCAAGCAGCTTATCTTTATTTTACTTCTCATAAGGTTGCGAAGTTAAGACCTAGAGTTCTATGGTGCATTATTGTATGTTGTCATGTAAATGCTTAGGTCATGTGGCGCATTATTGTATGTTGTCATGTAAACCTTCTAGGTCATGTGCCTATAGGTGAGCAGCTTTGTGACAGTGTAACTAAGTCACATAAAGTTTTCTTAGTAAATGTGACATGAATAGAGTTCGGAACTCTATAAGATAGAGAATTCTAAGTATGGCATTTTATGTAGCCTAGTTGAGAATGGAAAGAAATTTTCAATATCCTAGGGACAGTGGGAGCAACGTGCCTACTAGTAGATTACTCCATTAGAGAAGAATACTCTACATTCTTAGTTGCGTGGGAGCAAATGTGAAAATTTTCCACGTTATCACTGGGTGATTGAGAGGGAAACATTCATGATTGCTCTGCGAGATAATAAAGAGCCTAGGATAATGCCAAAGGCTCTCTAGTCTCCTGTTTTTAGAAAATGGATCAATGTTGCGCATTTTAAGACAACATCTTTGAGGATTAACCATTTTTAGGATTTGGTTGACTTTCTGCTATGATGCAAAAATATTCTAAAGTTATGCGCGATTTGGATAGTCATTTTTTGAGGCATAAGGCTCGCTAGATATCGAAAAGGCACACCATTAAGGAAGGTGTAGACCATGAGAAGACTTCCTCTTGGAGAGTGAGGTTACTTCGACTTAGGCTATGATTGACATGAGTTCGGAACTTTACTTTGTGGACATTGTGACCCAACTTCTCGTTGGAGAATTGGATAAGTAGATCCATAGGGATTTACTTTCTGCTTTTATGGCTAAAAGTTGGGAGCGTAAAAAGAATACTAGTTCCAATAAATCTTTTACGGCCTAAAATAGTTATCCAAATAGTGGTTCTTAGATTTCATCAAGCCATGATGTGCCAACGATGATCGATAAAGACCACTAAGGCATGATCAATGGTTCAAAAGAAGTTTTTTCTTAATTAGTCATTATGAGCTCAGAATTTATAAGGTTGTCGCCACCTAGGGCTAGTAGTCCTCTGTTTTAGACATGATGGACATGGTTGATATAATTTATATGCTCGGATGTACGATCCTTAGGAATTGTTCTAGGAGAATTCTTGGATTGTCTTTGATGGCTTACATAAGGAATATCTTAGAATGATTCTAGATGCGAAATTGCAAACCCATTGACTTACCTCTCAGTAAAAACTAGAGCCTCAACCATTGAGTGAATCTTCAGCCATTCATGGATAGATTGAGATAAAGGAAGCGCAGTGTCATGCCAGTGCATGTTCAAGTGAGAGATGTTGGAAATTGGGTCAGGTTTAGAACTTATACCCGATTGGGTCGCCTATGGTTACATGACTCAAGACCCACAAGGAGAGACCTAGTCAAAGTGGACTTGGATTAACTTATCTTGGGGATAAATGTGATTAACCCACTATCTCATCTCTTTAGGAGATAGAATTGTGGGTGATTATAACTCTCTCACATAATATACGTATTATATTAGGGAGAGTAAGAACTTAACCATATGGGTAATCTGCCGGTCTCTTTCTCTTAGTCTCTCTCTTCTTTTGCTCTCTTCATGGGAACACAGAACTATGCCTTTGTACTGTGAATAGTGTGGGTAGTTCGCTAATAGTTCTACTCCACTATTAGGAATTATTCATCAATGGAGGCATGTGATTCACCCACATGATCCATGGATTCGGTTTGAGTGTGAAAGGTATGCCCAAATCCGTTTATTTCCGCTGTGTAATATTTCTTATTTTTCCTACAGTACTGGTCATGGAGTCTTGTAAAAAATAGTGCACAAGCTATAGGTTCCATCCATTGGTGGTCATGTTATTGACTAATGCCTCAACTACATGCTTCCATACTTTAAGATCAAATGTTATTACAGATTAATTGCATGCTTCCATGCTTATATGTTTTCTGCACTAACTATTGCTTCACCTATCAAAAATTTGTTGGAATTTGCATGGCACCTCAACCATTTCTTGTCACTTAGCACTGCCTTATGATCTTGTGGATTTATTATTTGATAACTTTGACTTAAAATAAGTTGACACAATGAAAGATGATGGGATTTTTATTGGTTTTTATCTGTACATGGATGAAAGCCTACTATTGATATGTGCTACTGGATTTAATTGTGAGTTCAGAGTTTACTTAGAAGGTTTAATAAAATGTTTCTCCACATTGGTTGTGAACGTACGAGGCTTTTCTCATAGAATTTGGTATTCTTTCTGTTGTAATTTTTCCATATATCCAGATCAATATTAAAATGTGTCCTCCTATGGAGATATGCTTATATTCATTAAGAAATCCGGAATAATACTAACTTGTGCTCGATTAACATATCTATTAAATTCCCCATTTAAATATTATTCTTATGTTATGTAATTCATTGTACATATCATTCCGTTTCACATATAATAATGGGGTACTTCAGATATATGTTCTTGGATTAAACTGCGAGTTTAAAATTGCTATAGAACTTTAGTTGCTAAATAAGGGACTGTTTATGCTAAAATAGAAAATAAGAAGGTAACGTGTCATGTCCGAGCATGCTTATGTTGAAGATACATTTATAATGTTCCAGCATGCATCTCATTATTGGTCTTATAGTTGTCTTATAATACTTCCAACTTGTTAAGCATATGCAGATTAGCCCATTATGGAATGGGCCAATGAGGGGCTTCGATTTTCCTTATTTGTTTCGAAGTGTTGTGTTTTTTCAGTGCCACTGTTTTGTCAAAGCTGGATACTCATCTCATGATCATGTCATTAGCAAGATGGAACCAAATTATTGATGCTGGGATTAATGGAGTTGGATGATGGTTTTATGAAGATATACTTTGATGATACTTTCTGTATGAATGATTGAGAGAATTTTTGCTGAGACAAGTTGAGTACTTTTATGCACCATTTCCCCATCTCCATATAATGTTTTATGATGCGTTGATTACAATATTTTTTATATGTAAAAATTGTAATTAACTTGATGCATTGCTTGATTCCCTTTCTTCAGGCTTTAAGGCTTCATTAGGACTTTCTTTGCTTGATTTGGAGGCACTGCCAATGTATTCTTCTTAAATTTGAGCCATCTCTGTTCCTAGTTAAATTCTCAAGTTGTGTGTGTTACTCAAGTTGTGTTAGTTAATTTCTTTGACCATGCGTTATGCTGTATTTCAGAATCAGGGAGAGGAGAGGAGAGAAGGAAAAAAAAGAAAACATTTCAGTTCAAACCAACTCAATCATATAAACGAGCCGAGTTAACACTTGAGTTTAGAAAAAAAATTAAACTTAGATTAATTTAATTTTTAAGATATTTTTTTTATAAAAAAAATATGAACAAAATATACCAAAATGCTTCTATTATAAATCTCATTAATCAAATTTGTGAATCTACTCAAACACCAAACACATATTAATTTATTTGGTGTATTATTAAAAATACATATTAATTTATTTTCTCTATCCACTCAAGTCAGCTCGATTAATAAATGAACTTAAAAATCAAACTCAAGCTCATTCATTTAATAAACGAGCCAAACTCAAATGAGCCGAACTTTGCAGCCCTTTGTTCAACATATGCAGTTGCAAATATTACCATTCACAGCAAATACTCTCTGCTACCAGTTTTTGTGTAGTTAATTAGAGTTAAATCACAAGACTGAATCTACACAAGCGCTGTAACAATCCAATTATTGATTGGTAAAACACACAATCAAATAGGGGGAGAAAGTGAATGATATGAAGAGATGAGTAAGTGAGACTAGCCAAAACCCGGGCACAAGCAAATTCTCTCACACAACCTAGAAATATTCTTCTTTTTTTTTGGAGAACCTAGAAATATTCAGAGTCTGCTTGACAGTATGCAAATAATACCCAATAATCAAATTATTATACAGTAAGAATGTGTGGTAGCATCAATATACCATGTACAACCAAGAATCACTAATCAAACATTGTATCCACAATACACCAAATGTGTACAAAATAATCACAGAAAAAATACAAATAGTTTGTACATTTAAAGTAATATCTTGATAAACCAAAAAAAAGGATAAATAAATAAATAAATAAGAATGAGAATCCTGCTTCAGCGCCAAGTACAAATAAGCAGGTCAAAAAATTTCATGTAGTCACTGAACATTATTATACCACCTTCATTGATATAAATAATCAACTATGCAAAGCCCGCCTCTCAACCTACTTATTGAACAAATAATCTCATCCTAGCTTCTCCACTTGCATAGCATATTGTTACGCATGTCTTGTCTTGTCAATCTTTCAAAAACTCAGCAAAAAAAAAAAAAAAGCAAATTCGAGCCAAATTTGAGCCAAAAAATTTGAGGCCTCAATCATTAATCTAATTTATTTTCTCTATCCTCACGAGTCAGCTCGATTAATAAATGAACTTACAAATCAAACTCAAGCTTGTTCATTTAATAAACGAGCCAAACTCAAATGAGCTTTAAAAGAGCCGAACTTTGCAGCCCTTTGTTCAACATATGCAGTTGCAAATATTACCATTCACAGCAAATACGCTCTCTGCTTTAATTAGAGTTAAATCACAAGACTGAATCTACACAAGCGCTGTAACAATCCAATTATTGATTGGTAAAACACACAATCAAATAGGGGGAAAAAGTGAATGATATGAAGAGATGAGAAAGTGACACAAGCCAAAACCCGGGCACAAGCAAATTCTCTCACACAACCTAGAAATATTCTTCTTTTTTTTTGGAGAACCTAGAAATATTCAGAGTCTGCTTGACAGTATGCAAATAATACCCAATAATCAAATTATTATACAGTAAGAATGTGTGGTAGCATCAATATACCATGTACAACCAAGAATCACTAATCAAACATTGTATCCACAATACACCAAATGTGTACAAAATAATCACAGAAAAAATACAAATGGTTTGTACATTTAAAGTAATGTCTTGATAAACCAAAAAAAGGATAAATAAATAAATAAATAAGAATGAGAATCCTGCTTCAGCGCCAAGTACAAATAAGCAGGTCAAAAAATTTCATGTAGTCACTGAACATTATTATACCACCTTCATTGATATAAATAATCAACTATGCAAAGCCCGCCTCTCAACCTACTTATTGAACAAATAATCTCATCCTAGCTTCTCCACTTGCATAGGATATTGTTACGCATGTCTTGTCTTGTCAATCTTTCAAATTTCACCAATCTTGATGCTTATCAAAAAATTAAAAAAAACAGGTTTTCTGTGCATGGTGTCTAAATGAGTCCCGTGTTGTATGGATTGTACGCTTGGACAGGCATACCTGAGCCATAGGGGTGGATACCGGCTCCATATGCATTGCCAAATGGATTTACAGGCTGTTGTTGCTGTGGGGCCATCATCATCATCTGCTGTTGCTGCTGTTGGAACATGAAAGCTTGCTGCTGGTTAGCCATGGATGCCATTTGCACAGAAGGTGGGGCAGCCATGGCATTGGAGGCAAAGAATGGGTCGTGTGCTGTTTGTGACATCATGGGACTGGCCATTGGGACTGGCTGCTCCCAAGGGTTATAGCTCACATTCTGGTTGCTTCTCCTTATTGCATCATCATATAGGCTGTCTAGTGTAAGTATGTCTAGGCCTCCCCCCTTTTCCCATACACAAGTGAAAAACCATAAGTATAAATATAGCAAACTATTTAATTTGTGATCTACGTTAAATGGACTCATCCAATGTATAAAGTACCCATGCCGGACAATCAAATCTTGGATAAGCATATGGAATATTTGTCCGACACATGTAGCTGGACATAAATAAAACTACCATACTATGCAAGAAATGCTCTATGGCACCTTACGAACTCTATTTTATCATAGAAAATAAATTTTGTATATTAAAAAATATAAATATTTTGTCATATACGCATGCCCTTAGATGAACACATGCTACAAAGAGGCATTTTTCTTTTCCGTTCTTTTTTTTCTCTCTTTGAGGGGGAATCCTTTTCTTGATCAACTGATTTTTATTTTTTTTGGTCAAAAACAAACCAGACGCAGAAGCAAATAGTACAATACCAGATTGCTAGCAGCTGTGGCATTCTTGTTCAAGCTAGGAGCAGTAACAAGGGCCAATTCCCAGCCTGTAGTTCCATTTGCAGGATTTGGGCCAGCCGGAGTTGATTGATCGGCTGCAATTTCAACAACCAATAAAAATAAATAAATCAGAAAAAGAAAACATTAGTGGCATTTCTACATTACAATATTCCATTCAGATAAAACCCTAACCAAAATTAGCAACATCAGACTGTCTTCAATGTGTTTAAATCTTTAAACAAATTACCCTTTGTTCATATTACTCAAAACAGAACCAATGTAGTTAATTTTATTAAGGTTGGCCTTGAGAACCCAATGGATATATGATTGTTTGCATTGCAAAAGATAATAAAAAATAAATAAATAAAGATTCCTCCACAAAATGTGAGCCATGGTACAATGCTTTACATCATTAGATTTCTAGAAAACTTACCAACAGGCACAATAGCCAATGCCACAGCATTCTTCTCATCTAATTCTGAAGCACCTGGAACAGGATCATTCAAACCCTAGCAATAAAAATGCAGACACTTCATAAGACTCCCATGAATTCAGGTAAAAAAACAAATCCAGAGTAAAGGTTCACAGTAGGATCCTGCGAATTTACTTTGACAAGTGAGAAAGATACTAAAAATTACCAGTAGATCGGGTGGCCCAGAAACAGGAGCTTCCACCTTAACTGGTTCTGGTTCAGGTGGAGGTGGGGATGGCAGATTTGCCTCCTGTACCTCTGGACTTTTTTTGTACTCTATGGCTAAGTTTATCTTAGGAGCACCGTCCTTATCATCAGTCACCTGGTTTTTGAAAGTAAAGGATTAAAATGAAACTGAGGCGGGAATTTAAGGATTGTTTGGGATGATCTAAATAAGTGTACTTTTTGTCTTTTTACGAAAAGATGTGCAGAAAAGTAGAGAGGTGATGTGATGGAAAAAAGATAAAAGATAGATTATTTTAAGGATGCCAAACTTGGCCTTAGTAGATGTAAAAGAAGATTTAAATAAAACTTTCTTGTCAAATTTAAAACAGCAGACAACTTTTAACTAAAAAGGTTCAAAAATTGTAGACATTGCACCAACAGACTACAACTTTGACAAGTTAGCCAAAGGATATTTATGGCTCATAAAGGTAAAAAATAAGATTAGTCAGAGAGTTGATGAATTAATGCACATAATGATGGCACGCATCGGAAAATACAATGAAGAATATATATGTCCAAACGCTCAAACTCCTAAATACACTCAGTTGTTTGATCTGCACAAATAAATGATTGGCCTTCATTAAATAAAAAAAATAAAGGATATGAATTTATTTCATTTAACTGAGCATATAGCCCTTGACAGAGTAGAATGGCAAAAAAAAATTCATGTAGCCAACCCCACTTGATTGTGACAAAAGGCTTAGCTTGGTTTGGTTTGGTTTGATTTATGTGTTGTCAGACTTAATAGACTACTGGGGAGTTGATAATGACTAGATATTTGAGCATCTGAAACCACGTGAGAGAACTTTGAGGAATTCTGCCTAGAGGGACAACCCGAAACAACAAAGCTTTTTATGATTGCATTGCATCCTAAGCCAAGTGAAAGTTTGACAGTGTACTACAGCTCCCAACAATCACTGACATTTGATGTTCTTTTGCTTTACCTTCGTGATAATAGTTCTTTTGCTTTGTCGTCGTGATAATAGTTGCCACATATGAAAACATATTGCTTCCAACCAAGATAAAAGTTCACTAGAGAGGATTTCAATACCTGATCCTTACGAACTGTTGAAGCTCGTGGAGCTTCTCTCACATACTCTTCCATTGCTTGCATAAATGATGCAGGTGGCTTCATTATCAATCAATAAAAATTCCATCAAAATTTAATGAAAATAAAAATAAAAAGCAAAAACCAAAGGACTCAAAGCTCCTTAAATCACCACAAGAGAAATCACAAACCTGCTCAATCTTAACAAATCTTTCTCCACGTCCAATGTCAAGGTTTTTACATATTTCATAAAATTCTGACAGCTTCTCTGCCTGAAGATATGATTAAAATTTAAAATATGCCCACGAGGAAAGAACTCCTTTCCTCCAAAGCTATTGCTATATTTTTTATTTACCAAAAAAAAAAATTGTAATGGTTGCTAGAAATCTTTTGCAAAAAAGTATTACCTGTTGCCCTGCCCTCCGATATATATCCAAAGCCTTGAGAGCATCATGGCGTTGCATCTCAAAGAACTGTCACAATATATGTCATCATATATCCCTGATCAGCTAAAACAACCAACCTACTCATTCAGAAAGACAGGACAACAGCCTACCTTGTCAACCAAATTGATAGTACCATCACTGATAGCATTATAAATTTTAATGCTTTCAGAAGCAACCTGTTGAAAATAACAAAGTCACTCAGGTCAACAAAATGCTATTTGCAAGTTAGTTCAGTAAAGCCATGGGCAAAGCAAAAAGATTATGAACTCCACTCACCATGGAAAGTGCCAATTGAATCACAAAATTATGAACTGCTGCTCCTTGTGGCTGCATGAAAGCTTCATTATGGGGCCCACTGTTTGTGTATTGAAAGCTAGACACTTTATTTTTTATACAACTTAAGTCAGTTGACTGAATCAAAGAAAGTTACCTGGCAACCAAGGACACGAAAAAGAAGCTGCTGCAAAGCTGGTAACTGCTCAAGCAATTCTGGAGTGTCCAAATCTTTAGTTCTCTGCACCACAATTTGCATTAATAATTATGTGGATATTCAGTGTTTCAACCTAATCACAGAGCCACATTTTCAATTTGTATACAGGTATATTATCCAGGAAAAGAAGAGCAGTAATTAATTCCCAACAAGGTCCCTCATGTAAAGTAAGCATAAAATAGAACAAGCATTTAAGCATTAAAGATTGTTCTTAAAGGAAATGAACTACATTACTGTAGATTAGATATGAGTAAGACCTATGAAGCATGGATACTTCAAATAGAAAGACGTATCCGTATCGTATCCGTATCGGATACTGATACTCGTCGGATACTTACGGATACATATCAGATACTTATTAAAAATATCAGCTACTTCTTAATTAATTTTTCATTAATTATGAAGTATCGGATACTTACTTTTGAAGTATCGGATGCTCCAAGTCACATATTATCAGATACTTCTTAATTAATTTTGAAGTATTAAATGCTCCAAGTCACGTATCACTCCTTTTACGAAATTAGAATTGTATCATTTCTTACATAACATCATAATATAATAAAATTGCAAGAATAAATAAAATATTTTTGCAATACTTTACTTAGTTTTTTTTATAAAAATAACATAGTAAGCTAAAGTATTAGAATTCATCAAATTGACATATCTTCATTGTATCATGCATGTCCCCTACAACTACATAGAAGTAAGGATTAATAAGATAATATAACAATAGTAAAATTAAATATCAATAAATAAATAAGCAAATAAACTTGCATAGAATATTTTTGACTAGTGCAAAAGGAAAAAGTATAGGGTCAAGTTGTGGATTGCTTTGATATTATAATATCAATATATTAGACTTCATATTGAAATGAAATATTTGCAAGATGTATTAAAAATTTAAAAACTAAACTAGTTATTAGCTTAAATTAATACATAATTCTTAAATATTAGTATTTTGCATTATAAAGTTACTGTGGTTTCTCATCATTCTTGAGCTTATGTGTAACTCACTGCCAATAATTTTTTTATTTTTTATTTTTTACAAACGTATCCTACCCGTACCCGTATCCTACTTTTTTAGGTTTTGCTGTATTGCCGTATCCGTATCATATCGTATTCGTATTCGCATCCGTATCCATATCCGTATCCGTATCCGTGCTTTCTAGAGTAAGACAAGTTGTCAGAGAGCTTTGACAACATGATTTGGGACCAAAAGCGGTTAGTGGTAACCATTGAATAAGTTTATAACATTGTAGTGTGCTACAAGTAAGCTAGAACTGATGTGGACTAACAAGTAGTATTGTCACCACTGTTATCAACAAAAATGTAAGAATCAAAAGATACTATCAAGTATCAACTCAAATGATTCACAAAAGTTAGATTAACACAATATCATCAAAATGTGAGCAATTTACACTACACTTTTGTGGCTGTAACAGAAACTGAACCCCTCATGTTTGGTTTGGTTTTCAGAATTTGTTTTGTGAACTTTTTTTTGAAAAAAACATGAAAAATAGTTTTAGTTTTTTTTTTTAATTTTTTTGAAATAAAAAAAAAATTAAAAAATAAAAATAATAAAAAAATGAAACCAAATAGTTCCAAATGGAATTGCAAAATGGCCATATTTCAGTGAAAATATAGATTTGCAGTTTCTGTTTATGTTGCCAAAGCAAAATAAACATAAAATTTAAAAGCCAAAGGAATAGAAAAGGATAAGTTCTTACAGGGCGGTCGGTCTCAACATCGTACTTCAATACACGAAAACATTCCAACCTCTCTTCTATAAATAAGGCATAAGTGCGAACCCAAGCAGAATAATCCCATGCTGAACAGCAGATAACAACTCTTGTCAACACACAAGTCTCTTTCTATGCATTCAAATGGGCATACTAAACTAGAAACCAAAAATAAAAATAAAAATAAAAATAAAAGGAAAAGGAAAAAAAAAAAGCACACCATTGGGACTGGAATCATCTTTGAAATGGGCCAAGTTGAGCATATGGCTTCTACTCCTTCCATAATTGATTAGTTCTTCATGAAATGTGGGGTCCACTTCCCTCAAAGCACGATGAATAACAATTAAAGTTTTCAATGCAACCTACACATAATGACATAGTCAGTTATGGAAATCTCATGCACAGGCACCTTGACAATAATGCATGACAGTAGACAACTATCTTTCAAATCATAGGATTAACTAGTATAGGAAAGTATATAACAGCCAGGACAATTTGAGTTAAGTATCTCACGGAATTGTTCCACCATTACAATATTCAGTATCTAATTTAAATCTTGAGTAATGAAGCAGACAGTAAAAGAAGTTTAATGAAATGGAAACCAAGAATAGATCCCATTCACACAGTGCACATACCACAACAGAAAAACATTTATTTATTTCCTTGAATGAAGAAAGCACAATCTTTCCAAAGAGAAGCAAAGTTCCATTTTCACATAGGGCATACAAAACATAACATCAATTAGCCACTTAATGAGGCAACAGCAGACTCTCAGTTGTTAACTAATATCAGAACCCTAAAAGGATTGATTCATTTTGTAGGTAAACTTAAGATTCAATTGGAAGCAGAAAACATAAAGAGTGAATAATTGATACATTTAATTAAACTCAAAGGCTGACAGAATAAGCACAAAGGGAAAGATGAATCGGGATGTTTCTTGTTCATAAAATCTAATGCTTTTGAATAGACATCCATCTTTTGTAATTAAGATTGCATGATCAAGATTGGCTATCACTAGATTACAATTGCCTTCATAGTGGTCTTGGTTTCAATTGAATTACTCCCTTCACTAATTGACAATATGATATTTGCATTGATTTCCTAAGGAAACTAAGCACTTTTTTGTATTTATCATTTGGAAGGCGTCCTAGTGACTTCAATGATGGGGAAACCCCCCGTTACTCTAGCAATGCAACAGGAACATGAAAAGTTTTCCGATGATATGGACCCCAAGAGATAAATGAAAACTTCCCAGACAGGGGTAACAATCTCTCCCACTTGGTGGATGAAATCTTCTCTCCTAAACTTCTTTCTTCCACACCTTTTCCCTCTTTCAATGAGCAGGAAAGAAGAATCTTTTGGGCAGGCAGGCATCTAACCTAGGTATGACATATGTAACAAAAATTCATCAATCCATAGAAGCATTTGCCCCACAGCTTAAAATACTTAGCACTAGTACTTGAGCAAGGAAAAAATACTTAAATCATAAAACAGAAGAAGTGTTACTTCAACTTACTCTCCACTCGCTAAATCTTATTCACTTAAACATAAAGAAATATTGCATGCACTTGTAAATCTGACGATCACTACATATTTCTTAGATTAAACCCTGAAAGCACTTTAAATTGTAACTTCGATTAGTTGCAGTTACTTTAGCACAAAAATGTGCTCCATAGTATAAGTTTCCATTATAGAAATATGATTTTCTTGAACACATACCGCCCAATTATGTGTCTTTGACAATCGTCTAGCCAAAGCATGTATGCAATAAGCTACATCCGCTCGAGGCCTCGTAGCTGAAATAGCAGCAAAAATAGCTGCAAGGGAAAACAAAAATTCTCCATCACAACATTTTAAGGCATATTAAAAATTGATAAGCACAAAATGGAACAAATATGAACAAAGGAGCAAGCCCATCAAAAAAACAAAACATCTCCTTCTCAATAGAAATTACCAACCTCTTATGTGTTTTTCTTTCGCTGGGCGCTCAACATGATTTGTGGACTTAACAATTGCAATATCCAACTCCTACAAATTCCAAAACCCATTCAAGAAGTCAAAAACCATCCATCATTGCAAGAACCATATTGAGGATCTCAATAGAAAATACCTTGTAATCACTATTAACTTTGGCCAAATTGACAGTGGTGGAATCCTTAATAGCTCCAAGTGCCTTCCTCAAGCTGTTCTGTGTACCTCCCGACATTCTCTCTCTCAATTATATAATTCTACAAAATTGTCAACTTCATAAATACTACTGGCATTATTAGATGGATCTGAATTCCCCTCAAACAAAAACAAGCATCCTTCATAATTACTGCAAAAAAGTATCATACATCCCAATTTGATTTAAACTATTAACAAATCTGATATTTAAGCTTGCAATTGGAGTAAATTTTATGTAAATATTAGAGACCAAATGAAAATTATTAACATATGAAAATAGATTCTTAGCTGATTTTATGGGAAAAAAAATTACAGGAAATTCTCAACTATAACTGAAATTTGACTCTTAAATCCCGATCAACCATCAATGTCTTTGTGTGCCTAATTGAATCTGGGTTTGAAGTCGAAAATATTAGTAAATCATTGATACCAGAGATGTTCTTTAGATGATAATAGTTGGAAGTTATAAAAGCAAAGAAACACTAAGGGCTTGTTTGGTTTGTCTTTGACAGATTTGTTTTTGAAAAAAAATTTGGGAAGAGAGTTTAGAAATTTGTTTGGCTGTATATTTTGGGTGAGTTGTTTTTTTGTGAGTTTGGAATGATTTGATATTTTAGAAGAATTTGAGTAGATGTGTGTGTGAGGCAAAAAGTGATTGAGAAGGAGAGAGGAGAGAGAAAAAGTGATTGATTGATGAGTAAGAAAGAGAAAGTGATTTTGAGAATATTTTGAGAAAAATTCAAGCCAAACAATTTTTTAGAAAATTTTTCCTGAAACTCATCCGCCAAATGCAAACCAAACATACCCTAAATGAATGGGATGCAATATACAAACACAAAACCAACCAAAGAAGAGTACTTGATCAGCAAAAAGGCAAATCAAATCGAAGCTAAACAACGGTGTACAAAGTCAAACAAAACCATAATTAAAGATCCAACAGAACAGAACACAAACTAACAAACAACACAACACAACACAACACAACACAACGATGAATCCCAAATTCAAATGAAGTTTTGAAGCTCAGATACTAAATACAGAAACAAAAGAACAAAACTGGAAAGAGATCAGAGTCGACCAACACTAACCTCAACCAAAATCGTAGAGAGAAACAGAGAAAAGAAGAGAGAGAGACGTCGGTAGAGTCTGTCTGGTGTGAGACGAAGAAAAAGTCGCCAAAATTGAAATTTTAGTTTTGGTTGGCCATCGGCGTCAATCACATTATGTAGTGTATATAAGCTGTCATTCCCACCCCCTTTTTTGTTTTTTTTCTTTTTTTTTTTTTCTTTTTTTTGTTTTCTTTTTTTTGTCCTTATCATATGCATTTAAAATAAAATAAAAATAGTAATTATATATAATAAAAATAAAAATAAAATGTATTTAAAATAAGGATAAATTACAAATACACCCTCCATAAATGAAAACTTCCCAGACGGGTAACAATCTCTCCCACTTGGTGGATGAAATCTTCTCTCCTAAACTTCTTTCTTCCACACCTTTTCCCTCTTTCAATGAGCAGGAAAGAAGAATCTTTTGGGCAGGCAGGCATCTAACCTAGGTATGACATATGTAACAAAAATTCATCAAATACAATAATAAAATTATCTGAATTATTAATTGAAATAAAATTTTAACATTATTAAAAACTGTTAATTAATTTGATAATTTATTAATAAAATCACCTATTTATTATGAAATTAAAAATCTTAAGAGATACAATGTAATTTCTAGAACTACAAAAAATAATTTATAATTTAAGTAAACATCAAGAGATGCGTTTATAATTTACCCTTAAAGTAAAGTTGAATGAAAATCAACACTCCTTATACAAATATATATTACACATTAACAAGTCAATAACATAAAATATTATATTTAAATCATAATTATTCTTTTTAACAAAAATCAAAATGCTAAAAAATCTAACCTAAACAATACTTTTTAACTTCACACCAAGGCCAAGTTTAAAAATAAATTATTTTAATAATTTTTTAAATTTTTATAACAAAATATAAAAATAAAATTAAAAAATTAATATAACAATGTATAATTACATTTTAATTTATTAACTAAAATATATAATTAACAAATAATATCTAAAATAACTAAAAAATTGAAAAATTAAAAAATCAACACAATTTTCAAACTATGCCTATATTCCCTCAGACTTTTTCTCTCTCTTTCTCTCACTCTCCCATTTTCAAACCCCTCTCTCTCTCTCTCTCTCTCTTCGCTTGCTTTTGTCAGAATACGGTATACGGAGGCGTACGACGTCAAGACCGGAGGTGGAGTTTGGATTTTTATAGAGTGATATCTGAGCCGTTGGATGAGGCGGTTTCGATTAGACTTTTGAGATCGAGTGGTCCGTGCTTGTGGTAGGTGTGAGAGAAGTGTGGTTTTGGTTGTATTTGAACAGATTATCTAGAACATAAAAAATTGTCTTCAGAACTACTTATTATTTTTTTAGACAAAGAAAGGAGGAGAGAAAAAGTTGTTTGGTAACAAGGGAAATCTTATTATACTACTAATCGAAATTGGGAAAGTAGCACATGAGTAAGGACACTGACTTCCATATATAATATTTTTAACAAAAATATTAAATCAGTGGTTTTTTGAAAATATAATTATAAATAGTGATAAATTTTACAAATATTAAAAGTAATTAAAATCATAATTTTTCCTATGAATTTGTAATTACTTTTTAAAAATTACACTAAAATATAATTTTTTTATTTTTTTATACCCTACAAATTTGCTTAAAATACGAATTGCTTTTACGGTTTAAAAAATTACAAATATCCACTTGTCATAAGTTTTTTATTTAATAAAATTAATTTAAAAAAATGAAACGTCTAATTGCTCTCCTAGGCAGTAATAAAATTACTTTAATTATTAATTAAATTATATTTTTAATATCATTAAATATTGTGCGTATCTGTTTGTATCTTTTTTTGTCAAATTTCTATTAACAGGTGGATTAATTAGGTGATGAAAGGTGACAAGGTCAAAGTAAGAGTTTTCTATTAGTTAAAGGGACATATGGCATCAGAAGAATAGATCAAGTGCAGCCAGTGGTTCAAGTGATGGAGCAGTTACTAAGCTGAATCATGGACTTAGTGGGTTGTTGTAGAAGTGATCAAGTACAGAATAAGGGCTTGGCTCTATCGATCAGAGGCTCAAAGTGTTGAGGGACATGTGGCATCATAAAGGAAAAGTAGCTCGACAAAGAGAGTTAAAGATTTGAAAGAGTTTGAAAGCGTTGGCATAAAGAGGCAGTTATAGAAGCAGTTGAGATAAGGGCAGTTACAGATTCAAAATCATGTGATCATGGGTTAGAAAAAGAAGGGAGAATATATAAAAGCTATGAATTTTGCAAGGAAAGACATCAACAACACAACAACACATAGCTTTTAGACTTAGGAGTAGTTTATCTTAACTCATGAGTAGTTTTTCTGTAATTTGTGACTTGTAACTCTTGTGAACTTAGATAATTTCATGTGGAGTTGTCTTTGTTTATTTTGTCTCTTTCTCTTTCAATTGTTAATTGTTCCAAAGAAGTCCTTATTCTTTCAAGGCATTTAGAACCTTTATACAGTCGTCTGGTTTCCTGTTTAATTATTTGTATAAATTATTGCTTGGTTGTTGTCGATCAAAATCTAGCATAATTTTTACTAACAGTACCGAATGTCGTACTAGATGAAAGTGGATAGGAACTCTAAATTTGAACTGGACCATTCAGGAACTAAGTGCCTGGAAAATAGAGCATTGTCAGAGCTGCATGGTCGGGGTTGGCCGGAAAAACCCTCCGGTGTAGAAATGAGTAATCAGAGAAAATGAAAGACTCTCTACATGTGCAGAGAGCAAGAGAAAGAGTATTCAAGTTCTATTGAGTTGAGATGAGTTAGATAGAATACGTTCAATTGAAATAAGTTCAATTATCTTCAATGTGAAAAGAGTGTTTGTTTATATAGAAGACATTGATTGTTCCCCAAGATGGGTTCATGGAATTTGGGTGCCTCAAGGCTCTCTTTATCATTGCCCAAGATAGGGAACCACCGTGTGGTTGACCATGAAGGCATGTGCACATTGTAACCACGCATATAACATATCACATTCCCTTTATTAATTATTTTCGTGATTCCAAGAAGGGGGATCAGCTGAGGTAGCACTATGCACATGCATGTGTTCACAACGTCCATACTTGCTTAAGAGTTCCCCAACTCAGTTCCATTCATACGCTAGTTCGGCCCTTTATGTGGTTGCTCATAGAGATGGGCTGGTACATTTGGATAGCCTTGAGTAAGTTTAACCCACTTATGTTCTATTGATGGGTTCGACCCAGCTCAAGATCATGCCTAGGCTGGCCCGTGCGTAGCCCAAGTGCTTAAGGACTTTGGGAGGATAATTCATGTGGAGATGGGCTTTCTCATTTGGCTCACATGGGTATCTAGCACATTCAGATGGCCATTCGAGTTTGGGCTTAGTGATATGGACTAGCCCAAGGCTTGGGTTCGACCCATTTATATTTTGCCCTTTCATTAGCCTCTAGCTCGCGCTAAGGTTCCCTTGGTGGGAGCTATTGTTCGATACTCCAACCGTTGCGTCACTTTGGTCTTTTTTCAGTCCGACCTTGGTGACGATTCATGTTCTGACACACACACCTTGCATGCGTCCTTTCACAATGACACGTAGCAACGTGAAGTGGGTACGCAAAGATAGTGCGCCACTCCTTTGCAAAATGAGGTAACTTGTACCATCGCGTCAATTGAGGGTAATAAAACCTTAGAGCTGTCCTTTCGCCCTTGTCACCAATTCCTAAAGTTTTGAAATCCCAAAAACCCTTTTGCTCTCCCTTTCTAGTTCCAACGGAGCGCTACTCTAACTCCTACCCTCATTACTATTAGTTCCAAACGCTATTGTCTCTTTCCGATTCTAGACTCCAAGACCTACATTCCTCTTCAACAGCAGTCGTTCATCTACTAAATCTCTGTAAGTTCCTTTGAATCTCTCTTTCTTTGTGCTTTTTGAATTCTGTCGCTATTATTGGCCCTAGTGCCATTGTTTTTGACAGACCATACTATTTTTCTGCTCTTTTCTTAGTGTTTCCTTGTCTTTCCTTCTCTTGGTCTAGGTCATGGGTAAGTTTCATGCACTAGTTGACACTTCGAAAGCGATGGTCCTATTCCGTCGCGATTACGGCATTCTGGATGATGTTACCCTTACACTGGCGAAAGTCGACACCAAACGCGTGGGCACGAGGAACACCGCTACATATTAAGTTGATTTGATAATCGTAATATATTTAATTTATCGTATTTGTCTACAAAAAGAAAATGGACGACAAGTGTGTTTTTAAGAATAGACCATCTTTTTTCTTTTTCTTTTTCTTTTTTTGTGACAAACATGATAAATTTAATAAGTTACAAATATCAATTCAACCTTTTTTTTTTTTAGATGATATACACAAAGGATCCTACAAAGTAAACCGTTTGGATTATTGAAATAGGACCTATTGTAGATCTCATAGGCCTCAACAACACATTCCAATCTAGATCATAGATGGGAGTAGAGCTGTGCAAACTGTCGCTTAATATGCTAGAATTGTCCAATCCGTCGGCTAATCGCGAGTTGGTTTGATCAGCGATTTAAAATTTATAGTCCATTTTCGAAATTGTCTCGCATGGTTATAATTAATATATATATATATATATATTTCTAGTGAAATATCAAAATAAAAATCAATGTGAGATAGATTTGAAATATTGAATTTGGTACAAATTACATAGTATCATATATGAAGAATATTATGTAAAACATGAAAAATATTATCCAAATTATTATTATATAATATGCAAATGCTCATAATTGTTTAACATTATTCTTCAATCAATTAATAAGTTAAACCTGTCCAAACTGTAGTTTGGTTACGATAGCAAATTTAGCAATCCGCCATCCACAATTTGATTTTAATTTTATTCTCAAATTGTACTGAATCGAACTGAACCATGTACAACCCTAGACAGGAGGATAGCCTGATGAAAACTTCTATTTACACACCACTAATCCTCTCAGTACACAAAATTAATAAATTAATTTTATATTCCAATAATATCCTCAAATGAAAAGATTAATAAGGAGTGTATTCTATCGATTCAAAGATTTCATACATAAAAACACAACACTCTTAACGCACCATCATCACTTACAGACATAAGCATCC